TTTTTTGTTTGAATTGGACAAGCCCGCCCTAACCTCCCAAAACCGCTGCAACTCATGTAAGCCAGGATCTCCAGTAGATACATCCATGAAAACACCGGAACACTGAAGTCCGGTGCGTCTGAGGGACATGAGTAACTGTCTTGGTTCCCGCAACGAAGTCAATCAGAAGATATAATAAGAGGAGAAGAAAAGAAAAACGAAAGTTTTCATTTCCCTCGGTAAATTACTGTAGAGAGACAGAATGAATTAAGCCTAAAGGCACAAAAAAGAGACGTATGACTGGGTGAAGCCCAGTCGCCAGGCACCATGAAAATTTGACTAAAAACTAAGTTGATCCTATGTGTGGGCTGTTATAAATCTACTTGCTTCCAATAATAGGTATGGTATGTAGAGCAATTCATGGAAGTCCTATTTTAATATTCATATTTTATATTTTAAAAATAGAAGCACTTGTTTGATGTCTAAGTTGATTCCAATCCCGTAGACGCTTATCCCCTCGAATAAGCGCCTTCTAATTTAAGAATAGCAAACAAGATGATCAATGAGACTTGAGAGCTAAATTTGTCACAGGAACCTTGCCAGTCAGAGTTTTATATTAATGTCGTTTTACGAGCAGAAAAGTAAGGTATTTTACTTGTAATAGGTCGCTCAGATATAGGATTTATGTAATACTAAATTGTCTTACAAAAAATGAATATAGGTAACCTAATATTACTAAACTTGAACATGAGCTTATCCCTTACGGATTTTAGATTATCTACTAGGTATCTATATGCCTAACCCAGTGGTTAGTTTAATTTAAGTTTAATTTAATTTAAGTTCGTTAAATACATATATATATATATATATAGTAGAACAGATAGAAAGTATATAATAGAATGTTTATTTATTTATATCGAAGTACATACATAGCTAAGAATTTGCTATCATTAATACTGTGAATGGATGTTTCTTCTACATAATATTGTTTCATTACGTGTGTTGGTATATGTAAGTAATGCATCTTAAGCCAACACATTTCTCGTTTATATTGTGAAATAGATTTATAAGATTATGTTTGTAACACGATAACATCATACGTCAATCATTCTCGTTTGGTTTTTCTAGTAATTGTAGAGATGAGGTTGCATTTTTATAATCGGTGCTATGTTGGTATTTCTCCTTGTTCCTAGAAATTCTTCAGCAAATGAGTTCTTTTGTGATTGTGATTTGTGATAGCAAATTTTATATAAAAATGAGTTTTATACAATTAGATTTTCAACTTTATTGTTTGATATAAAGTCGAAACTCGTGGTGCTGACTGCCTCGTTGGCCGAGTGGTCGCAAGTGCGACTGCCGGGCAAGGGGTCTCGGGTTCGATTCCCGGGTCGGGAAACTATTACTGGGTTTTAAAAAAAATCTCAGTAGTAACACGGAATCTGGAATTGTGCCCCATTGTGAATATGGCAATAGGCTCACCCCCTATTACATAGGACTCATAACATAAATATGTGAAAAGTGGATGTTACATTGTACATTGGTTTAATGTGCACCTCTGCCTACCCCTTCGGGGATAAAAGGCGTGATGTTATGTATAAAGTCGAAACTCCAATGAGTAAATTAACACATGGGCGCAGGTTAACTTTATGTATATAATTTTTTAAATAAAGTGTAAATAATAAATATAGCAAACATCATAAACTCATTTATCTTATTCAGATCCTGAATAACCCGTTACCTAGGTTCAGCACTAACCGAGCAGTTAATTGTTAAACCATATAGAACGATTGTTCTTTAGGTTTAATGGTATAGAAATTACAGCTGGGGAAACTAATTGCTCTTACTTTTTTATTGCTCCTGCATAGTTGAACGTTGATGTGCATGATGCTATCAGTTTGCAAAATGATGCCATCATTGCAGCGAATTTTGTAGTCTATAAGACTAATACTAGTAGTATTTTTTATGTATCGCGGATACATTAACAAACAAGAATTTCATATGAATGACACCCACACAAAACCAACCTTTGCTTACTGTGCTATCTGAATGACAATCTAAAACAATGTTAGACTTGGACAAACCTACTTCTCGACAGTGCGACGGTACGTTATCCAAAATCGTCGTATGTCGTATCTAATATCCATTAGTCGCCATAACAATGTTATTATCTTGTTGCCTATCTGGACTGTCTCGTTAGTTGAGTAGTTAGACGTGTTCATGTTGAACAAGAGGTGTTAGGTTTGAAAAAACTTTTTTAAATAAACGTTCACACTAAAAGTTCGGGAATCGAACCCACGACACGTTGCACGGCAGCCGGATGGGCAGCCACCGCACTAACCGTGCAGTCAATCTAAAACCTCCGACATGAAAAAATAACACGTATGAATGATTCTTAGTTAACTAGTTATTGTTTATTTTTAAATTAAATTAATAGTTCTAATTATTCTATCTATAAGCATCACGATGTTTGCTGGCTATACGAGAATAAAAGAGACAGACCTCTGAGTTTGTTTCGGCATTGCTTCTCAGAGTAGTCAGTTAGGAAATGTCGACCTCATCGTTCGCTTGATAAAATTGACGTGTAAAAGTGCTGCCTTGTAGCCTATTTGCAGAAATAAATTCACTTGTTTCACTTGTTTCACATAATATAATAAAACCTAGCCACAAAAGAGATCATTCTATGTCATTCCTATCTTGTAACATTATTACAAGTATCCAAGTAACTGTTCCAAACATTCTGCGTATGGTTCTTAGAATTTTAATGCTCAATTTCCGACACTCATTTGGTGTACAATAGCCGAAGCATGCAAACAATGTAATCTGTAAGATAAGTTACAAGACAAAGGTAAATGCACGTGATCTCATTGCGTAATTTTGTCCTTACTGACCCTGACAGTGAAGGTTTAATTGTACAAGGTTTTATTTGGGGACCTTGAGCAGAATACGTAGAATTAATTACTTACGGCCGTATTTAATATGCGATCTTTTTTTGACCCCAAGGTGGGAAATCCTCATGGAGTCGTCTCGTCTGGAGAAGACCAAAGGGACTGTCAGACTCTTACTGACTAAAACCTACCCCGGTGTCCCGTCTTACACGTGGGAACGGTGGTACAGGAGTCACATTCTTCACCTTAATCCAAATCTTTAATATAGGTAAATTAAGGTTTTTACAGTAGAAGTTAGTAGAATTACTAATGATCAAAAGTTTTGAAATCGGTAATTATTTTTAGTCGTTCTTGGTATTAAGTCAGTGTGCTAGCTCAGTGCAGTGGTTTTGATTCTATTTACAAAATTTGAATGCCCATGTGCCCTATGATTTTAATAATTGTCCATTGATAATGTGCATTGCAAGTTGAAGTGGCTGGTTACATTAGTTGGAGATCCGATGATCGTTGATGTAGAGATGTTCTTGAGTTGAAAACACTTCTAGGACCATGTAGTGAAGCGTACTCTCCAATTAGGTGGAGCGACCATATTCGTAGTGACTGGCAGTGGTTGAATCCAAAAGCTATATTTTAAAGAAAGTAATACTCCCTGTACTTTCATAATTCCGAACATATTTCTTTCAAATCAAAAATGTTTATTTGCTAAAATACGGTAGAAAAGTGTTACGATGCAATTTTTTTCCAGCGTATCCTGCCATGTGTGGCGTGCAGATTTGTTATCAAAATCACACTATCTAGATTCTATCGACTTATCTTTTAAATAGTCCAGTTTATTTTCTTTCTTTCCGAATAATCCTATTTACAGGACTATCGATCGACTAAGAAAGTAAAGTTTCTGTACTTAAGATACTCAAATTCTGTATCAATTCTAAACAAACAAAAATATCTACGGAATTGTAATTCCTGTTGTTATACAGAAAGGTTATCTATGTCGTTAACACCAGATTCAGTTGGTTCTTGCATAAAAAAATATTATTCGGGTTGCTTGCATGAAATATACAGTACTTAACCGTCATCATAATATGCCACGATATTTACGAGTATTTTTACTTTTTAAAAAAGATTAACAGAAATGTTTGACATCTATAAAGGTACTGATACACATGCTCTAAAATAGCACGCTAAAACTTAAAAGGTTTTTTATTGCGCATGTTCAAAAATCGTGTTAAAAATCGAACACTTATCGATTTGCAAACATGTCTGAAATAAGCATGCCAATTTTGATCAACATTCCTACACATATGCTAATAAGAGACAAGTGCTCAATTGAAGCATGCTTTAGTGTGTGAAATAAGCATGGGGAACAGTATGTTTACGAATCTAGAACTGTGATGCCCATTTCGAAAATAAAATCTGAGAACTTTGAACTAAACACTTCTATAAATATTATGATTAATCTGATGATACCGATCCCAAGTTTAATAAGAGATAATGTAAAGCCACATGTGCAAATTACCCCACTTAGTACTTGAAAAACCCAGGTACACTTTCTAATCCTAGGAGCAAATATTTCTAAGTCTAGTGCTGTGCAGTAAATATTTTCATAGATATAATATCACTAGTAAACTGAATAATAGACAACTGATATTAGTCTTCAACTAAAAGCTTGACTTATTTTTTCATCAATCAAATATCAGGTCTTTTTTATTGAATGGCAGAAGTATCAGAACTATGAATTAATTAACTTTTTTTTCTCCAATTATGAACGAACATTATTTTCATTCTAACTATAAATATTACCACCGGATGTTACGTGTGTACTATTTAATTCGCATATAAAGCTATTTCCGTTCTGATTATTACGTTGAATGATATCAAACATCCGTTTGTTTGTATGTAACATTTAGATAGGATTTTCTTTGCTGCATTGAGGAGATAGTCGTCATAAAATTATGGCTTGTGTTTACTTTGAGTCAGACGTCGCGAAAACATTTTGTTTGGCCAAGACTTTACTACGCACCAGCTATCTCAGCAGAAGCCATTATCTAACGTTATCTATGTTAATTACTCGTTGAAGTATAAAAGGCCAGGTTTACCAAATTACAAACAAATTTAAACGAACGAGCTCATACGAAACACAAGTACACATTATTTGAAGTGTGAAACGAACGAATTTCGCGTTTAATGAAAATAAATAATATCACAATCAAAACACACAATATCGGTTCAAAATGAGGATCATTTATTTACTTCTTCTTGTAAGTAATGCATGTTTTACTAATATTTTTATTTTTTAATTAAAGATGTTAGAAGCTTTAATGAAGTGATTTGTAACCATAATATTGGTTTAGTGATAAATAACAAAGCTTTTACTTACTTGTGTCCAACTTACTAAGTTATTGTTAAAGGAAGTTATGTATTATGAGACGTTTATTCAGAGTTTATTAACATAGCATAGCATTACGCCTTTTTATCCCCGAAGGGTTTGGCAGAGGTGCACATTATGGCACTTAATGCCACTGTACAAGTGTACAATGTAACACCCACTATTCACTATTAATGTTATTAGTCTCATGTAATAGGCGATGACCATATTTTCCATATACCGGGCACAATTCCAGACCATGTGCTACAACTGAGATATTTTTTATGTTGTAATGCTTTGCCCAATCCTAGAATCGAACCCGAAACCTTTTGCCCAGCAGTCGCACTTGCGACCACTCGACCAACGAGTCAGTTCAGAGTTTATTGATGATTACAAAGTATATTTTTGGTTTTACAGGTGTCCTTGTTTTGTCTGGTGAGCGCGAAATATTTGCCCAATGAACGTGCTTCAGGCATTTTGCTCAGGAAGCCTAGATCTTTATCAGATGAATCAAATATTTCAAACGAAAGTAATGATGATGATAATACAAATGAAAACGATGACGACAATGACGATTCCTTGGAGCGTAAACAAATTGAACAACAGTTGAAACTTCAAGAGAAAAGAGAGAAAGAGGAGCGAAAACGTTTAGAAAAAGAACGTAAGCATCGAGAAAAACTTGAAGAAGAGGAACGAAAGTTGCAAGAAAAAATAGCAGAACGGGAACGTAAGCTACAGGAAAAACTGGAAAAGGAAGAACGCAAGCGACAAGAGAAATTAGAAAAAGAGGAGCGTAAGCGACAAGAAGAAGAAAGGAAACTGCAAGAAAAACTTGAGAAAGAAGAACGTAAACGTCAAGAAAAGATTCAAAAACATCTAGAAGAGATCGAAAAGAAAACAGCCGAACAAAACAACCCGGTGGTTGACAGCTCTTCTGAGTCCACTGAAGACAATGATCCCATGGATTTGGAAGATATTTGGAAGAACTATGTATATTCAAGGTACGGGTTAACTGCTAACAACAGTGATATTGAGAAGCAGGCTGCAGTGAATAGATATTTATCAGAAGAGCTTGGTTTAAGTGTTAATAGTACTAAGGTTGAATATCGCCAAGCAGTTTTACAATTAGTCCAAAACAAATTGTTAAATGATACTGGTGCACCGGATAGTTTCCATAATTATTTGATTAGTCACGTGAATGCCGTATATATTCAGAGGCTTAGTGCTGAATTAGAAGCCAAAATAGCTGAATTGGATAACGAGACTGCTTTATTACAAAATGTCACCTTACCGTGGGTAAACGAGGCCCAACAAACAATCGAGCAAAAGAGAACTATACTTCAAACTGTTGTTCAATTTTTATCGAACGTACTACCCAATTGGATAACTGGAACGCAAACAGGCCCCTCCGCCTTTAATCCCCCTACTTCAGACGCCAGTGTAGCAGTTGGTAGCTCATCTGTGGGTGTGGCTAATGTAGATGCCTCAGTAAGTGTCTCATCTAACTCTGCTTCCACTGACGCCAGTGTATCAGTAGGCGGTTCATCCGCCGCAGTACCCACCAATGCTGGCGCCTCTGTAGCTGTGTCGTCTAACTCTGCTCCCGCTGACGGCAGTGTATCAGTAGACGGTTCATCCGCCGCAGTACCCGCCAATGCCGGCGCCTCTGTAGCTGTGTCGTCTAACTCTGCTCCCGCTGACGGCAGTGTATCAGTAGACAATTCATCCGCCGGAGTACCAGCCAATGCTGGCGCCTCAGTAGCTGTGTCATCTAACTCTGCTCCCGCTGACGGCAGTATATCAGTAGACAGTTCATCCGCCGCAGTACCCGCCAATGCTGGCGCCTCTGTAGCAGTGTCATCTAACTCTGCTCCCGCTGACGGCAGTGTATCAGTAGACGGTTCATCCGCCGGAGTACCAGCCAATGCTGGCGCCTCAGTAGCTGTATCATCTAACTCTGCTCCCGCTGACGGCAGTGTATCAGTAGACGGTTCATCCGTCGCAGTACCCGCCAATGCCGGCGCCTCTGTAGCAGTGTCATCTAACTCTGCTCCCGCTGACGGCAGTGTATCAGTAGACGGTTCATCCGCCGGAGTACCAGCCAATGTTGGCGCCTCAGTAGCTGTATCATCTAACTCTGCTCCCGCTGACGGCAGTGTATCAGTAGACGGTTCATCCGTCGCAGTACCCGCCAATGCCGGCGCCTCTGTAGCTGTGTCGTCTATCTCTGCTCCCGCTGACGGCAGTGTATCAGTAGACAGTTCATCCACTGGAGTACCAGCCAATGCTGGCGCCTCAGTAGCTGTCATCTAACTCTGCTCCGCTGACGGCAGTGTATCAGTAGACGGTTCATCCGTTGCAGTACCTGCCAATGCTGGCGCCTCAGTAGCTGTGTCATCTAACTCTGCTCCCGCTGACGGCAGTGTATCAGTAGACGGTTCATCCGCCGCAGTACCCGCCAATGCCGGCGCCTCTGTAGCTGTGTCGTCTAACTCTGCTCCCGCTGACGGCAGTGTATCAGTAGACAGTTCATCCGCCGGAGTACCAGCCAATGCTGGCGCCTCAGTAGCTGTATCATCTAACTCTGCTCCCGCTGACGGCAGTGTATCAGTAGACGGTTCATCCGTTGCAGTACCTGCCAATGCTGGCGCCTCAGTAGCTGTGTCATCTAACTCTGCTCCCGCTGACGGCAGTGTATCAGTAGACGGTTCATCCGCCGCAGTACCCGCCAATGCCGGCGCCTCTGTAGCTGTGTCGTCTAACTCTGCTCCCGCTGATGGCAGTGTATCAGTAGACAGTTCATCCGCCGGAGTACCTGCCAATGCTGGCGCCTCAGTAGCTGTATCATCTAACTCTGCTCCCGCTGACAGCAGTGTATCAGTAGACGGTTCATCTGTCGCAGTACCCGCCAATGCTGGCACCTCAGTTGCTGTATCATCTAACTCTGCTCCCGCTGACAGCAGTGTATCAGTAGACGGTTCATCTGTCGTAGTAACCGCCAATGCTGGCGCCTCTGTAGTTGTGTCATCTAACTCTGCTTCCGCTGACGGCAGTGTATTAGTAGACGGTTCATCCGCTGGAGTGCCCGCCAATACTGGCGCGTCAGTAGCTGTGTCATCTAATACTGCCGCTGTTGACGCTGCCCCCGTTAACGCAGCCCCCGTTGACGCTGTCCCTGTTGATGCAGCTTCCGTTGACGTAGCTCCCGTTGACGCAGCCCCCGTTGACGCTGCCCCTGTTAACGCAGCTCCAGTTGACGTAGCTTCAGTTGACGCAGCCCCCGTTGACGCTGCCCCTGTTGACTCTGCCCCCGTTGATACCGCCCCCGTTGACGCAGCCCCCGTTGACGCAGCCCCCGTTGACGCTGCCTCTGTTGACGTTTCCCCTGTTGACGCTGCCCCTGTTGACGCTGCCCCTGTTGACGCTGCCCCTGTTAACGCTGCCCCCATCGACGCAGCGCCCGTTGATGTAGCTCCCGTTGACGCTGCCCCCATTGCCGCAGCTCCTGTTGACGCTGCCCCCATTGATGCAGCCCCCGTTGACGCTGCCCCCGTCGATGTAGCTCCCATCGACACAGCCCCCGTTGATGTAGCTCCTGTTGACGCCACCCCCATTGACACCACCTCTATTGACGCTGCCCCTGTTAACGCAGCCCCCGTTGACGCTGTCCCTGTTGATGCAGCTCCCGTTGACGTAGCTCCCGTTGACGCAGCCCCCGTTGACGCTGCCCCTGTTGACGCAGTTCCCGTTGACGTAGCTCCAGTTGGCGCAGCCCCCGTTGACGCTGCCCCTGTTGACGCAGCTCCCGTTGACACAGCTCCCGTTGACGCAGCCCCCGTTGACGCTGCCCCTGTTGATGCAGCTCCCGTTGACGCTGCCCCCGTTGACGTAGCTCCCGTTGTCGTAGCTCCCGTTGATGCTGCCCCTGTTGATGCTGCCTCAGTTGACGCAGCCGCCGTTGACGTAGCTCCCGTTGATACTGCCCCTGTTGACGCTGCCCCCGTTGACGTAGCTCCTGTTGATGCTGCCCCTGTTGACGTTGCCCCTGTTGACGCAGCCCCCGTTGACGCTGCCCCTGTTGACGCAGCTCCCGTTGACGTAGCTCCTGTTGATGCTGCCCCTGTTGACGTTGCCCCTGTTGACGCAGTCCCCGTTGACGCTGCCCCTGTTGACGCAGCTCCCGTTGACGTAGCTCCCGTTAACGCAGCCCCTGTTGACGCAGCCCCCGTTGACGCTGCTCCTATTGACGCAGCTCCCGTTGATGTAGCTTCCGTTGATACTGCCCCTGTTGACGTTGCCCCTGTTGACGCAGCCCCCGTTGACGGTGCCCCTGTTGACGCAGCTCCCGTTGACGTAGCTCCCGTTGACGCAGCCCCCGTTGACGCTGCCCCTGTTGATGCAGCTTCCGTTGACGTAGCTCCCGTTGACGCAGCCCCCGTTGACGCTGCCCCTGTTAACGCAGCTCCAGTTGACGTAGCTTCAGTTGACGCAGCCCCCGTTGACGCTGCCCCTGTTGACGCAGCTCCCGTTGACATAGCTCCCGTTGACGCAGCCCCCGTTGACGCTGCCCCTGTTGATGCAGCTCCCGGTGACGCTGCCCCTGTTGAGGCAGTTCCTGCTGACTCGGCCAACTCGGTGGTCGAATCATCTAACCCAGCCCCAGTTAATGCTGGTGTCCCAGTAGACAGCTCGGTCGGCTCGGCTGTCGCGGTTCCAACCGAAGCAGGTGTATCTGAGAGCCCTATTGCAGTAAATACGGAGGGAATTATTGCAAGTTCAACTGACGCCGTACCCATCGACGTTACTAGTGCATCTGGAAGCAACGTATCTCCCTCTGGACCAGCAGAACCAGTTTCCAGCTCTGGGCAAGCCTCTAATGCTGTAAATAATATTGAGACTACAGTAGCACCTCAAGTTGTTCAAGAAAATACTAATACTCCCGCTGTACCGGAGTCAGTCTACGGTGAAACCTTAGCTCCGGTACCTTTTGAAGACGGTGCAGCATTGTTAGAAGTGACCACCCAATAATTATGAATTCTAGATTTGTACAATGTTAAAATTAGTTGTTTATTCTTTGATGTTTATTTAATTAAATAAGTTCTGGCATTTAATTTAATGTGTTTATTATTATAACAATATATAAATAGGTATATTTTATATTCTTTGTAAATAGAAAACAATTGATTAGGTATAAGACAAATTGTATTTAATAAAACAAGTAAATAATAATAATTAACCCTTTATTATCTAATGACTCTCGTAGTAACAATTTACAAATGTTTGGTTTTATAATAGGTATCATTAAATGGAATGCAAAATAGAGGTAATTTCTCACAAACGTTCCTTATTAAAATAATAATTAAACTAAAATGTAATATAAATATATTAAATAAAGTTAATACAATATTTACTAAATACATTTCCTAGTGATTATGTCAAATCCAGTACTTGTTAGCAGCATTTGGTGGATTTGGATAGTTGTGCTGGGATAATGGATCTGACACGTTTGGGAATGAGTAAGGATCATTCATGTACTTATATTCACTTGACAGACCCGCCAGGCTCATATTCAGTGAATTATGTGACGGACTCCAATTAGAAGCTACAGAAGGATCTGCAGATAGTTTAGAATAATCAGCAGGAACTTTAGGATAATCAGTATTTGGTAACGCTTTGCTGTACTCATCACCAGTCGGTTTATCGAAAGTGTCTTCTCTTGGCTCAATAACTTCATCACTGTTGACTTTGTCGTCAACTTCAGCCTCTTTTGGTAAATAATTAATAGGTTTGTTATATATTTCGCTACTAGGATATCTAGCGTAGTCATTTCTTGGAATACCACTTTCTAATAATTGGCTATGGGGAGGACCATTGGCACTGGGCACCAAGTGGCTGAAAGTGGATCCTGAAGTACTAGGAAACGCTGCGTTTTGGAAGGCTTGGTTCAAATGCTGGGACTGAGCCATTAGTTGGTTATAGTTGGCATACTTTTGGTGGTGCCAGGCATCAGGGTGTTGGGGATGGTGTTGAGATAGAGAAGGTATCTCTCCAGCGGGATAGGGACATGGTATCTGAGGCATAGGAATGGAAGAGTAGCCACCAATGCCAGGACTGGGATTTGATCCAGTATGTTTTCGTAGACGGGCACGGCGGTTGGAAAACCAAACCTGGAAATTAAAACAAATACATCATTGCCAAATTTTCTAGTAAACAAAAATTGAAACACTGTTAATGGATGGTTAAAGTTTATTTATATGAAAAAAAATACGACAACGTTTTCGCTAATCTAAGCGACAGATAAAATAAAGAAATAAGAAATTTTCTTAGCTTCTCAATTTATACAAAACTTTAGGTGTAAAAAATGGAAATATAGTAGAATAAATTTTTCCTCACGTTCATTAATTCAAAATCTCAAGAGATATAATTACGTCATTAAAACAAAGAGTGATTGCTGTTATCAGGGAAACGTATTCCTACGTGCGAATAATATTTGTTATTATTAAGAAATGTAAACTAGAATTAATCCTGATGTATGTAGATCGCAATTACGTTGAAAGCGATAGTTATATGTACGTTTACTAACTAACGTTGATGCCAGATAATATTGTGTTGATATGACAATCTGTGTGTTGTGTGATGTGTTTGTTTTATTATGTGATCATTATCTTGACATTTGAATTCAAATAATTATTCTTTTTTTCTTCAATATTAAACTCATCTTTATAAAAGATCCGCCCTATACCGTGGAGAGAAAATAAATAGTCAGTTGTATTTCTGTTGGATAAATGAATAATGCTGATTATATTCAAACTTTCTACTAACTTTTTACTAAATTCGGTATTGCCATTGTTAAAGTATTATTATCCTTTACGGTTTTCAAAAAATCTCAGTAATAATATGAGTCTAAGATGGTACCTGATATACCAAAATAGGGTTTATATTATGTACTAGCTGCTGCCCGCAACTTCGTACGCACAATCCCGTTTTCTCCCGTTCCCATAAGATTTTCAGGATTTTTTTCTATCATAAGAACCTTCCCCTGACAATAACAACCACAACAAAAAAAAAATCAGCCCAATCGGTCCATTCTCAAGTTATGGCGTGACAAGGGGAAACGGGTTTCATTTGTATAAGATTTGTATTGCAACAAGAACAATACGAGGGCAAGTTAAAGGTGCTTACTTGTATCCTAGCCTCCGTGAGTCCAGTCTGCAGGGCTAACTCTTCACGTGTATAAACATCAGGGTACTGCGTCCGATGGAAAGCTCTCTCCAAGGCATCCAGCTGTTCCCCAGTAAATGTGGTGCGGGACCGCCGCTGTTTCCTCTTGAGTGTCAACCCTGGCTCCGAGTCTATGTCTGACGAATCTGAACCTCGGCCTGGAAAATAGAAACGAAAAATGAAGCCTTAAAATTACTTTTGGTTTTACGATATTTCGTAAGTTTAGAGTGAATTTTGCAGAAAAGTCTGTTATTGCACTGAAGTGGATTAAAAATATCACATAGAATAATAATCATGTGAAGAACAAAATACGCTACGTCATTTCTAAAAAGTGTGATGTATATTTAACTTGAATTTAAATCATTGATAAAATACGTTTGTACAATGATTCAAAACATGTTGGGATTAAACGAATCCTTGTAACTATTGTCTATCAAGTCTTCCTTGATGATCTTAATGATAAAATAGAACGTGATAAACTGTCACGTTGCGGCGATCCTATAATTTATTTGACGTTATATTACAGCAATTTGTCTTCATCTCTTTTTTGTAACACGCGTTATTTATTAACGGAGTGTTTTTTGTGTAAACCCACATCATGTTTTAATTCGCCTAAATCAAGAACGGCGGGGCTCGCGGGTCGATCTCATTTATAAATCGGTAGCGGTATCCTACGGAAACTGATTAAAAAACACCCGCAACAATACACGGCTTTGGCCTTAAAACTGATTTCAAAAAATGCGGCTTATATTAATAGCCTTTTGAAAGAAGTCAAAATTGAATGAGATGAAAAAATAGGGGCTCAGCGTAGCATGGAATAAGGAACACCCAGAGCGGCGGTCTCTTTGTCGGCCTCTTTGCTGTTCGGGTGACATTTTGGCACCATTCAATATTTTGGTGTCGCGAGCTGGATTTATGACATGTAAGGCGAAAGCACGGGCTTAATACGACACCCGCAGAATTAAATTGGTAGGTGTGCGCAAACATGCGAGCTAACACTCAATTTATGAAGGTTACAAGTAAATACGGGTACTGAACTCTATGATGCTGATATTACTAAGTTCCTGCAAATTGCTTTGCACATTTTAAATTAGATTTAATTGGAGTTTAATCGGTTTTAGTGATTTTGTTAGAAAATAAATTCATTACAATAAGTAATGCTTCTTTCTTTATGCGTCTTCTTTTATTAAATGAGAAAAGTTTTAACAACAATTGTAAGATAATTGCACTCGAGAAAAAAGCTTTCATATAAAAATATTTTATTGCTTAATGCTTATTTATTTGCAAAAGTTTAAAAAGTCTTATATGGGGATATTTGTATGATAAATTGTTTTATTTAACTAATTCGTTTCCTCATAATGATGCATCGGCATAATTAAACGCACGAGGCAACATCTCTAAGCACAAAGGTTGCGACAAATAAAAAACAAGGCATTGTAATAAAATGATTTACATTGCTCAAATTCTCCGGCTGGCCGAGACAGGGACAGATTTATTTAGTCTTTTTTGTTACGAGTCCTGATCATAACGTATGAGGCTAAATACAAATCGAAAATACGAAATAATCGAGAGCGATTTAAAACTTTATGGCGTGGTCGTAAAGTTCACTCCGCTTGTTTTCATTGTGGAGGTGCACTAAAGCAAAACTATGAGGGATTTTATGTTCAAAGAAAGGCGAGAGGTTTATGGATGAGTGGTACGTGGGAGAGGGCGAGAGAAACTTTGGCGATTGCCGAAATGTGACCCCGTGAAGAGGCGCGCGCGCGGCTCCACTCAAAAGTCATAATTTGGGAGTTGAAAGAGCGGCGGCGAAGGTTTAACACCTTCATAATCTGGGTTCATTAAAACGGTCGGGTCGGCCTTTGTTTCAGCGGGTTGTTTCCATGTTAACAGATGGTTGGATTAGCACGTCTGCGTGTTGTGGGCGGCGTTGCTTGTTCCTTGCCGCACGCTCGACAGCTTCTTTATTTTAATGTAGGTATTATTTCAAAATATTTTTCATTCTTATTTTGTGTTACGATTTCCAAAGATTAAATATTTGAAGTACTGATGTTTTCAAAGGTTCAAAAGTATTATTGTTCCATGATCCAGTAATATTCTACTTAACTTTAATCCTGCTGAAATTTTACTAAAGTTTCAGCTGTGGTTTATCTATAAAAGCGGGATGGCTGAACTATTACTATAACAAGGTCGCTTTCACCGCTTTGTTGTGGTTTACTGTACGTAATTGGCATCAATTTACCATTATTTGGCTAACAAAAAACTCGTGAAAGGATTCCACTATTCTTCAGCAGACATTGATTCAAAATGTTGTATTGTGATTTCTTTGACTGGTTTTGGGATGAATGGATATGTTGCAAAACATTAAAAAAACTGGATTAATGCAGAAACTATAAGCTTCATGACATTACATTACAGTGCCACTTCAATCACATCAAACGTATTACAATAGTTTTATTAAAATAAATTCTCTGAGGTCATAAAGAGACACCATGAAGCTATGATGTAAGCTTGTTAATGCTCATTCAAAAGTACTCCGCCTCCTCTTTGTCGGTCGCTTTCGGCCACTTCCGGAGAGTCTCGTGTCTTTCTGGGAGGGCTCTCATTGAATAATGTGATGAGACAAAATTGTCTTGAATACAACGCAAGGTAATAAATGCCCACTAAATAATTGTGAGGCTGCGCGTGTTAGACATTGAATGCGGTTTACATGGCGTAGGTATGGACATCAGTAAAAGTGTAGATGAAGTGGTTTGCATAATATTAATTTTGTACTTGAACTTGAGGATGCAAAATACATACCATAGGTTTTTCGCATTGCAATGAGTACAAGACGTATTTTTGTGTACCTACCTAAATATAATTATCAAGATCAAAATAAATAAGTAGTTGTACAAGCCGAACAACTTGATTTGTATTATAACTTTTGTGAGACATACTAAATAAATTATTATGTTTTCGGCTTACTCACGTAATAATTTGACGAGGAACTCGATAGTCGCCGCGTCGCGGGTCGCGAAATGCTGTTCATGAATATGAGCCTCTAGCATGACTTGGAACTAGTCGAGTTCCTCGTCAAATTATTACGTGAGTAAGCCGAAAACATAATAATTTACGAAGAACTTGATTTTTTAAATTCTACAAATTATTTATTTCTATGCAAAATAAAAGAATGTGTTTGTATAGGTATAATAAAATACTCTTTTTATAAAAAGCTTTATGGAAACCGAAGCTAAACCAAAGTTAGATGTAGAGTGAGTGTTCTGTTCGTCACTTCGATAATCGCCTCTGTAGCTGCGGTCCGCGACATTAGTTGATTCTAACGACCGATGTTATTAAACAAATGCGAGATTTTATCGCCCTCCCGCACTCTTTTGTTTTGCCTTGATGCTCTCATGCGTCTGTGAAAGCAGATTGTTCTTAGAGTAATGTTGTATATCGAAGGCACTTCTGTACAAATGTAACGTGTCCAATTTTGATGAAATATACATATTTTGTCGTTTATTTATGGTAAGACCTACGTCCAAGAGATGGATTTTTTGTATAGGAGTTTTGTTACAGTAATAACACACTTTCATTCATTCATTTTATGACCATCTTTTTATTACCAGTATTTTGCCATCATTCTTTTAAGAAATAAGTATGCTTTTTGGTTCTAAAAAACGTGACGACACAATATACAATATCGTACAAGATTTATAGAAAACTGTCATTTTAACATCGAAAAACGTACTGAATTTGACCTTCAAATTTGGTAAGTATCCTATTGCAAAACAACTGGTTAAAGGAGGCTTCTAGTTGGTACTAAAGGAGATTCAGACCTACAGTTTCAAAGGAAGGGATTAGAGATTGTACCTCGTATTTTACTCTAAATAAACTTAACATAATATAACATTACATCACGCCTTTTATCCCCGAAGGCAGAGGTGCACATTATTCCATTGTACAATGTAACACCCACTTTTCACTATTTATGTTATGAGTCCCATGTAATAGGGGGTGAGCCTATTGCCATATACTGGGCACATTTCCAGACTCCGTGCTACTACTGAGATTTAAAAACCCAGTAATACTTTGCCCGAACCGGGAATCGAACCCGAAACCCCTTGCCCGGCAGTCACACTCGCGACCACTCGGCTAAAGAGGCAGTCAGTCCAGGCATCTAAATAAACTTATTATCCCTATTACTTACCTGGCTAAAATATGACGTGTTATTGTAAGTCTACTTCAATAAGGAATAAGAGGAACGAAGTTATAATATATTTATACGGTCCATAACATTTATGAGAGAGTCCTAAAAGTGTTTAATATCCGTAAGTTGATTAGCAATGCAATATATTATGCACTCATGCACATGAACTAAGGCCATCAATGCAGTTATTTAATGATCATTTTTATTATCTATAAAGTATCTCTGATGTCGTGGGAAAATAATAAAGGTTAATCAAAAATTAATGTTCTAGCAGAGGTACTTGAAGTTATAGGCTTCTTGTATATTAAGTACGAAGTGTAATATATCCTAGTAAGTCTAGACTTAGCTCGAAGCTCGAAGGATCATATGTAGGGGTAGTAATTCCGTACAATTTTGTTTTGTTGGCATAACATCACACCTTTTATCGCCGAAGGGATAAGCAGAGGTGCACATTACGGCACTTAATGCCACTGTACAATGTAACACCCACTTTTCACGATTTATGTTATGAGTCCCATGTAATAGGTGGTGAGCTTATTGCCATATACCGGGCACATAGCCAGACTCCGTGCTACTACTGAGATTTATGAAAAACCCAGTACCTACCCCGACCTGGCCCTATACCTAGCCCGACCTGGAAATCGAACCCGAGACCCCTTACCAGTACCCCCTTACCTGCAGTCGCACTTGCGACCACTTGGCCAATGAGGCAGTCATGTTGAATGTTGTTGTAGAATTAATAAATAAGTTTACAATGTTTAAAAATGTTAATCATGGTTATTTAATGATTTGCGCGTATGACGACAAAAGTCAATATACATCGTAGCTCGTACACTAATGCCTTAAAATTAATAAAATTCTAATTCGTAATACTACTTATATCTCGCTGGCTGATTTATTACTGACTTGACTAAACAAGATACGTCTAAAATAAAATTTATTATTGTATATCTTTTAGGGCCAGAGAATTTAATGTATTTTTTTAATAGAATAGTAGGCACATGAGCAGATGGATCATGTGATGGTGATGTGTTTGCTCTGTCACCGGCAAGCGATCAGCGACATGTACACCTGCAACACCATAGGAGTCACAGGTGCGTTGCCGGCCTTGTAAAAAAGAATACGCTATGGATTTTCTTCCAGTATAAACATAGAATATAAGTGGTATTTACTTTTATTTTTGGCTTATAAGCATTAAGGGTAACAAGGAGAAGTTGTATCAGCCAACTGTCTTGGTTGATGATAATAAATTATGTAGGAGCTTTGGACTACAATTGCTCAACTTACGCAACAGTTGGGTAAAACAATAAATAAAAACAGCCTGATTTTTACCACTACTTGGGTTATTTTTTTGCTTTACTGTAATATATTTACAAATTAGGTAAGTTTAATATTAATTGAATATAAACACACAAACAATAATGTTGCTAGTCTAAGAAATATTAGTTCCAGCTGCAACTGCTATAAGTTTCGCTAACGTTGGCAACACTACTTGATTACATTTCAATGGGTCATAAATTTGTTTATGATGCCATAATTATTGCTCTGATTGCATATTCCAACCGTTAAAGTTTATCAAATATACCTACTAAGAGTACATAATGAAATGGTAAATAAGATTTTCACGGTTCTTTTACTTTTAAAACCTTTATTTACCTTCATATAACGTGTGATTTTCTCTCTTAAGAATTGTCATTTCAATGAACAATTGACATTTAAGGATTCTGGAAAAGTTATTTAAATTGGTGTAAGTAGTCTATTGCAAATTTTTTACCCGACTATGGCGAAGCCAAAATGAGGGTTACTGACATATAAATAAAAAAATGAAAAACAAAAACATAATAAAAAGTGGGTGTTACATTTGTAAAGTGTGCATCAAGAGTGTGTGTACAAGTACCGTATTGGGTACCCCGTAATGCCTATGACTTTGGGGATAAAAGGCGTGATCTTATGATATGTAATGTTATGTTAAATAAATTTAATATCATCCTTGAAAAGCACAACCTTTTTTGTATCTTCTGTTAATATATTTAGTAAACACTTCTGACATTGTTAGTTTCGTTATTTTCAAAATTTAAGTTGGGTTTTCGATTTATTTAAAAATAAATATTGACAATAAATTCTGTAATAAAATTTTTAAGTAAAAACAAACAAGTTTACTACTTCATAGTACATAATTATGTGATGCTTTTTAGTTAGGTCTACCTTTATATTTTTCAAAATGTTTGCGCTAGTTTACGGCCCATATTTTATATTTTTGAATTTAGTAACAGTAATTGGTTTTTCTTGGCTCTAAAGGTAAATTAATTGTTCCTTTGGAGCCATCAATCAGGTTGAATCACAATGAATTTATTGGGAATTGTCAACTGTATAAGATGATAGACAGATTGATCACCAATCAAAAGTATTTCTAGCTACTTGATAGAAGTCATTCTAGTCGTTAATTTGATGATTTCTATTTATATTTAGACTCTGCAATTCGTCACATTAAAAATAGACAGTGTTGCGGAAACCGTTTGTTTTGAATACTTGCATAAGATCAAAGCGCGGTGGGCGGCAATTCTTTCATTGAGGAGTATGAATCTATGTGGGTAACAGGTACGGGACATTCAAAGGACAATTAAACTTGGCGACAAAATAGAGCAACAATGACACTACAACCAAAACATGTTACGTAGATTGTTCGTATTTCAGCACTATCGAGACGCGCGGCAGGTGACCGCGGTACACTTTGTCGGTCACCTTTACCTCGCCGGTTTGGGCTCATTCGCAAAACGCCGCCCTTTGAAACCTCGAGAACAAACTTCAATATTTCAAATGGCAACAATGACGAAGTAAGATTTGTGTGCGGAAATTGATTTTTTGAACTCGACTCGTGAGAAAGCTTTGACAGGTTGCGGCATTAATGTTGCAAAGTAACCTTTTGTGGACGATGGGAAGTTGTGCAATGTTTGATGGCCCGACAATATTTTTATATTATAGGAAGTGAAATTGATTTATGCAGTGATAATCAGCGTTACGGAGGAACTTACTTTTGTAGATAGTGACCTTTGGGGGGCAAATGTTTAAGAATTTAAAGTTAAAACTAGTAGAAAATCTATTTGTCAGCGTAATGAAACTTATACTATAGTGACTTACCGCCAAGAATTCCGTCGATGCTGTAATCCTTCTTTCCATCTGGATCGCGTGCTCCGCCGCGCAACAGTCGAGATATGGATGAGATGCTGGGTGGGTCGGACACGCCCTCCTGTAACCCAACGCGTTTGTCTCTCACTGCCTTATTATCAATTTAACTTATGAGCTCAGTCGGACAGCATTGGGATGTAAAACAAAGAAACAGTTCTGGCTGATTTTCGTTGTTTGATTTGCTTTTATTGGAGTTTAATGGTTGCGGTTGTAGACATGTTTTATGCACAACTTTATTGTTGCTTTAAATTAAGAAATGTAAATGTTAATGTAATGTAATAAGAGTTAATTTGCCGAAATCTTAAATAAAGTGCGTAACAAGTTTATTAGAAGCAAAAGTGTTATATTTGGGCACTAATGTGAAGTTTATCATTCATATTGAGAGCGTTTAACGAAGATGGAGTTTCCTATTCACTTCAGTAAATTGTATCATATAATTCTAAAGCTCAATTAGCGTGGCATCAATGGGGCTTAGGTATTATAGTATTATACAACTAACTCTATGCTTTATCAAAAATATGAGTGTGTTTAGTTTCATTGCTAGCTCAAATGCAGCTTTATGAAAAGTTTAAAAATACCTATTTTAATAAAATGTTTGTTATTTTAAAAGCGTACGTGCTATTTTTAATCTTTAGCTTTACAACATTCAATAAAAAAAGAGAAGTACTCGGTCAATTAGCGAAGCAGCATTACCAAGTAGAATTAAAATAATAATATTAAGCATTTACTTGCATTTGCTAAATTGTCATTCCTATATTTTCTAGAACAATGAATGCATGTTTCAAAAGTACAGTAGTTATTTTTAGAAAAGCCTGATGTATTTTTTTTTAATAACAAGTCGACGCAATGCTTAGAAAGTATTAAAAATATTATAAGCTATAACATTTTAAGTTTTAAGATTTTGAGGAGGCATAATATTCGGAAAATATTAATAGAGATGAGAATATAACTAATTACCAATTACCATCAATAAAACAACTGTTTACTAATAAAAATGCGTACCTTGATAAGTTTTTCCCGTATTTCCCAAGAGAAGATGCCAGGGTTCTGTCTCTTGAGCTCTTCGATTCTGGCTTCGACTTCTGGCGTAGCAACCCTTGGTTTTGAACCTCCAATCACGCCTGGTCTAATGGAACCCGTCTCCTAGGCGAGAGTTATCGTTGTTTTATTATACAAAAACCTATCTCTAGGTATAATATTTTCTTGAAAGAGCAGTTTTTGGTGCTGAATATTCTTTCATATTCAAATTAGGAACTATATTTAAAAAAAATCTTTGTCGGGCTGGCAACGACGTATTTTGTGAGTAAAGAAACTATAAATGCTATAAAAGACGTTTATTCGATATTCAAATCGAATTTCACAGATAAACAAAAATTCATTTGAAAGTGTAACTGTCTATTTACTCAACAAAAACGTCTCAAAATGGTTGGATATTTTTATTTGTCGATGTAAATGTTGTGCCAATATTTTGTTTGTCAAATGATTGTTCGATGGGGTTTATAAGGGACATTGTACTACGCAAATAGAAACAGTGTTAGACGGTGTGGCTACTTAGTTTTAGATGTGTGTTCGCAGGTAGGTAGCTGAGGTCGTTCCCTATACTCGCGGAGCGTGGCGAAACGTTTCCTGGGCTAAACAATCGCTATTATGACGGTGTTGGTGTACTATAGCGCCTATAGGAGCGGTGGTGAAAACGAACCTTCAGGCTCGGCTGAACAGCAGATCAATGGCGATTGTTTGCCGGCTGACCAGTTAAAATACGTAGGCGGCACCTCGACCATATAATACTCTTATGTCTATAATATCGGAAATGTTGTTTTGGTCACAATCGTAAGTTATCGCTTCGATGTGTTTTATTTTGTATTGTCGAGGCGCTACGTTACTTAGATTTGTTAGGCTCGAGTCCATATATTGTAGTATTGATAATATTGCGTTTATTCGTATTTTATGATTAAGATTTGTTTCTTTCTTTTGGCTGTTATTTCTAGAAAGATAAATTTGTATGTAATGTGCTCATGTGACATTTGCACATTGTTATTTTTGTCAAACGAAGCAATACTCAGTTACATTACAGGACTTCCGATAAGTTGTAAAAACCAGATACTTAAGTCTAGTTTTTGTAAGTACCTAATTTCTTTATTATTTTGTAAGAGAGACAAGTTTTTACCAAGATACTGAATAAATAAATTCATTGAAATTTTACTTTAAACATTGTTGTGGAATAGTTTCTCAAGGCGCTACGACATCGTCAATGCGGAAAAATATTGATGAAAGTTGCCTAATTTGTTTTGAAACTAATAACTAAAGTGACTGAAATGTATGATAGAATATTGGAAGATATTTTTTGCATGTTTCTTGTACTTAAGTTGTCACTCACCTGGTATCTGTTGAGTATCTTAGAGACGCAGCCGTGCGAGACGCGGAGCTGGCGCGAGATGACGCAGGGCCGCACTCCCGCCGCTGCCATCTCCACGATTTTCAGGCGGATGTGGTTCGGCAGCGGACGACCGTTGATGAACAACCCGCCCAACTGGTTGACACGTCCTTGCCCTATCAATATGTCTGATTAGTTCAATAATCACGAGCCTAGTCATGCAAAGAAAACTATTTTTCATGTACTTTCTTTCATGACTTAAGTTTGTTAATTTTCCGACGGCCTGAATGTGTGGTGTGGATAAAAATGTGATAAGTACCTATGACAAAGTCGGTGGGCAAAATGGTCATTAAAATTCACATAACTCAGTTAACACTCATTAAGTATTATGTAGAATAGAGTATGATAGATATACATAAATCACATTAATTATATCAATTATACGGTGCGGATGAGGTTATATCAATTATATCTTACACCTACTAATTTACCCCTACATTAATTATCTTTTTAAAGAGTTTATCTTTATGGGTGAATTGTACTCACGAACCTAAAGCAAACTCCGACGCTGCGACATTCGGCTCGTCAACTTGGCACATGAAATAGTTTTCGAGTTAGACTTGACGAAGGTTCAAAAGTTAGGTCAGACATTTTTAATTTAAACTTTGTTAATACCGAAAACTGTCCAATAACACAAGATATTTGATTAACGTTAAATGAAATTTGTTAACAAGTATTGTTATTAAAAAAAGAAAAACTTATATACCCTTACCTACCCACACATCCATACCATTTTGGTGACGTTCCATAATGGTATGAGATTCGGTTCAGTACGCTTCCATAAACAATCGCGAACTCAAAGTTTATATCACTGCCGAGTCAGTTCAAACATGTTACCGCCACACTTGTATCAGCTAGCTTCAACAAAAAACATCGCGCCGAGCTTTATATCATTTAAGCGTTAACACCGTAAAACGCCACGAATAATGATAAATATCTGTTTACATTAAATTAAGCGAACGAGATCAAAACACATAATTTAAATTGATTATCACCCATTTGTATTTACATAATTAAAACGACATGTTTAATTAATTACGATGTCATAAATATTGTGATCGAAATAAATGTCTGTGGTGTAGCGACGCGTTCGATGTTAGACGTCAGTTGTACCCAACTATATTCATGAAGGCTATCTGACGACGTTGTTTTTTGGATTTGGAAAAAGATCGATAGATCGCGTTATCTTTTTTTACTGCGCGTGAGTGCAGTAGAGGAGGTTGTGTAGTGAACTGAGAGTGCCTGTGTACGTACGGACACGGGCCGGCGTGGTGGTGTGCGTGTGGCCGCCGAGGAGGCTGTGTAGAGGGCCCCGTGTTGCTGTGTTGGTGAGTGCATGGTACACTCCCACTACACCAGTGTGAGGCTGTAGAGGAGCCATGCGGTGGGGGCGAGCCAATTTCCAGAAAAGTATCTCACTCAAAAATATTTTACAGATTTGACTTTGACTTAGTATTACAGCATTTACAGTACGACGCCATTGTGAAGCTTTTATAGACAGATATCACAAAAACGAAGGTTAAAAAATCACATAAAACGTAATAAACAGGACCATATAATAGCTTATTCAATTTATTTCGTCCCTCAGTTAGAACAATATTTATTCAGTTTTCAAATCATGTGGAAATGTTTGTCACCCGAGTGTGGTACCAAAACAGGCGCTTGCGCGGATGGAGGGGATCGAGTTCAGCCCACTCATTGATCGAGGAGCGACAGAAATATATTTGTCCCTTTCTGATGAACTATGCTCGGTATTCGAGGGGTTTTTTATTTCAGTATCGAATATTTGAGCACAATACTGATACTTTCAGTTGTTTTTAAGTAAGTAATGAAGGTTTGTCATTTAAAACAACTATAAACTGTGTATTGTTTCAAGTGACGCGTATTAAGAGCTTTTCATAACCAAAAGAATGTTTAAAAATATATTTTTTTTATATGAATTATTATTCATGAATAAAGAGTTGATATCAAGCATGATTCATTATTAAAAGAAAAGAAAATTTTTATACACATTTCATGTTTTAAAATTTTAAGCTGTAGTTATGTCGATAGATGGCGCTATCTATAGTGCAGTTACAAGTTTACTGATTTGTGCATTATTTAAATGTTAACCGACTTAATGTTTGAAATAAGAATCATGTTTTTCAAACTACTGCTAAGATAATAAATACGCATTACGATGGTGAATGAAAGGTTAACTGTCAAAAGAGAATATTGAAAGTATGAATATGTGGCCTCCCATTTCATCCATTTCCAACTATCAGCCAAGGCAAGCAAGTTTTCATCAGACAATTAATGTTGCCAATAATATATTTCTTTAATAATTACTTTATGTATAGGTATGTAAGTACCGTAGCAGTTCATGGAACGCCAATTGCTCAATCAGTCTCTGCCTACCCCCATGGGAGACAGGTGAGGTTATGTATGTATTTAATTAATTTATAACCCTTTAGGATTTTGATAATATCGATAACCCATTAACCACAGTCATACATAAAATTCTAGACTATGTAAGAATTACCAAAAAAAATGTAAAAATCTTTATTTTATGTCAAAAGTATTAAAATCTTGAGTTATCAAAACATTCTCTGAAAGGGTTATATTTTTTTTAATTTAATCCCTCTTTAGTATTTTTTCGATTCTAGAATCAAAGAGCAATAATCTACTAAGAATTTTCCACACCCAGGAAAATCCTAATGGGCTATGACAAAAGTAACTGTTTTATCCAAAGCTTTTTCTTTTTTCACGTATGTATATGTATTTTTAACTCAGTCGACGATTCGAAACCTTTTGCGTTTTCCCTTGACCTTCCAAGTTGTTGTTATTTTTATTTCATTTTATTTATGTTCTTCTTAAAACCATGCCCTTGTATTTGTCCTGAATAAATATAACCCACAAAAGCTTTTTCGACTATAAATAATGGTTAAGAAAACTATTTATGTGTTTTTTTAGGAAATGTTACGTTTATATTGTCCTGATATAGACCGAACCTCTATTTATAACTCAATTTAGTAATTTATAGAGCATTTCTATAAATATGACATCACGCCTTTTATTCCCGAAGGGATAAGCAGAAGTGGATATTAGAGCACTTAATCATCATCATCAACAGCCAAAAGACGTCCACTGGTGGACGAAGGCCTCCCCCTTTGTCCTCCATGCTACTGTACAATATAACACCCACTTTTCACTATTTATGTTATGACTCCCATGTAATAGGGGGTGAGCCTATTGCCATATACCGGGCACAAGTCCAGACTCCGTGCTACTATTGAAAGTTTAAAAAGAACCAGTATTACTTTGTCCGACCACTTTGGCCATCCGACAGTCGCGCTTGCAACTACTCGACCAACGAGGACTATAAACTTTTATCATTATCCTCATAATTAATATTTGACTGCCTCGTTGACCGAGTGGTCGCAAGTGCGACTGCCGGGCAAGGGGCTATCGGGTTCGATTTCCAGGCCGGATTACAAGGTTTTTAAAAAAATCTCAATAGTAGCACGGAATCTGGAATAGTGAATCTGGACTCATAACATATATAGTGAAAAATGGGTGTTACATTGTACAGTGGCATAATGTGCACCTCTGCCTACCCCTTCGGGGATAAAACGCATGATGTTATGTTATGTTAATGGTTTTGATGGACTGTAGGTCACCTGTACTCAAGAATTGAATAAAAGGTGTAAAATATACACAAGTGCATACACTTCATACCTACTACAGATTTCACATTTACAACACATAATTAATTCTGCGTAACTTCATTATCAGTGTCGACGGTCCACTGGTTGATATATTGGGTAAAGCCAAACCTGATTGATTAATCTAACGTCGGTTAATTAATGTCACCGCGTGTCACGTTGCAATGCGTTTGAACTTTAGTCAGATTACAGTATCATTTAATTCAATCTATGATCCCAAGTACCAAATAACATCACCTCGCTGAGCATGGAATCCTGCGTATCGATTGTGCATTGTGGTGCAGCAAATTCCAGTGGCAACAATTATTACAGTACAACACCTACATGCTAAGGCTAATCACATAAAGACTCAAAATAATATTTTTTTTTCAATAACTCGAGTTAATTTACCCTAAACGCAGCCTTAGCCGCCGTGGAGAACTTACCGGGGCTCCGGCTCAAAGTGCAGGCGTAGGATCGGGATGATTTTTATTCAGTAAGAGTCTGACGCTCCCTCCCGCCTCACCCAGGCGGGAGAAGTCATTCGATGATTTTTCCCCCTTAAAAAAACCCTTCTACTTGGTAGTCAACCTTTTGACTTTCGTGTAAGCTGACCGTCTCTTACATTATTGTAAGACAGAAAGTAAAGGAAATAAAGTACTGACGTATGTACTTAATTCGAAAAAAATTGGTATGCGGCAGACACATGCACACACACACACACACACACACACACACACACACTTCGCAGTCCTCACCTCCAGAATAACATGTGTCACGTAATGTATCTACCAGAGTAATACGACAATTCAAACTAACCTGTGTCTTTAGCCAAACGCCACTTTAGCGCTTGTCTACAGAGAGAGTAGAAATCGAAATGTATGGGGATGACACTGACAAGTGTCAAAATTTACGTCAATTCCATATAATTTGGTTTTCTATTCTACATGTAGACAAGCGCTAAATGGCATTTGGCTACAGCTGCTGAATAACCTCCAACCACAAAGGTGGCCTATATCATATTTGAGACTAGAACTGTGTCACTTATGAACTAGGTTCAAAAGGACCTTGTTGTAATAAACCTGAATACCACGTAACCTTATCGACCTACCATCCAGTGAGCAATTCGCAATTAGAACTAAAAAATAACTTTATCAAAACGTAATGGACGTAGTAAACGTCAAATAACTGGGTCGGTATACTTGAGTGAATGATCGACGCTTGGGCACCATAAATTATGTTCGTTTATCAAAATCCTTCCAAAACGTTCTGCTGTTTGGTTGTTACTAATTGGGTGTCAAATAGATAAGCTTAAGAAAATATGAGACCATTGTAAAGAACATACTAGTTTCAATAAAATTAATAGGAAATATTTCATGATCGCTTTCCCGAGCCTACCTTAACTAAACCTAGCTTTTACGGCCTACCTTTATACCAAAACTCACCAAAGTAAGTTCAGCTCTTTAGGAGTACAAGCGTTAAATACAAATAAATAAAGTCTGCAGCTGTCGCCAAATGCCATTTAGCGCTTGTCTACATGTAGAATAGAAAACCAAATTATATGGAATTGACGCAAATTTTGTCAGTTATCCCCATACATTTTGATTTCTACTCTCAAAGTGGCGTTTACTTCTTAAAGTGCCGTTTGGCTAAAGGTCCTGATATGTCTCTGCTTCATATGCAAAACACAATTAATCACGATTGTCTCAATTTTCAAATTAGGACGGATAATGGCTACCAGTATAGAGAATACATTTCTGGTGGTTTTTCTGGAAAATATCATGAATATGGGATATTATGTTGTATTGAAAGTTAATATCTCTCCACAGAAGTTCCGTTTCAAAGGGAAATCACGTGATTTAATATCAGAAGTTGTGAGTTCCTGTTGTTATTATATTGGTTTATCTGGTACCTTCAGTACGACGTTTATTAATGAAAGTTACTGCAAACAGAACGATATTACTGTTTAGTTATTAGTTATTATGATATGTGGTCATGGTAAACTATAAGCAGCCGATCCAACCGATAAATAACTAACATATCTGTCGCACTGAAAACAGCTTTCA